TTTTCACATTCTAACAAATATACCCCAAAAAGGCCTTTTGGAGATGCGTCCGGAGAGTCAGACCAGCTTCCCAGAGAGTGTCAGTTCTAGGAAGAGCTGCAGTCAGCTCGCTCTCCTTTGCTCCCCTCACTGAATACCCAACAGCAATCTTTCTTTCTCAGCAGAGGAACAGATTACTGCTGATATGTGAGAACACCCAAGAGAAAAATGAGGATGGAGAGGAGAGAGGGGAGAACGTTTTTCAAATACTGCTTTTCTGGCTTTCAACCAAGTACAATTACATAGCATTCACAGAAGATGGAGTCAAGATAGTATAAACAAAATCTTCAATGAGGCCAATTACCCTAAAAGCTTTCCAAACTCTGTTTGAGAGCACAGGCAAGCTGCTCTAGAACCCTGCGCCCCAGAATCTACAGTGGTCCAGCCAGGACCCCGCCTTGGCCAGTCTGGGGGGAAACACAGAGTCCCCTTCACTGCCCAGACTCTCTCCAGTGACAGAGGTCAGTGCCACTGACACTTTTCCTAGGACTACACTTTTCCTAGGACGTACCGAGACTCTGTTTTACGATCAAATCTATTTCCCAAGTGAGTAGCTGTTCCTCTACATGGGTTCTCTCAGAGACAGAGCATTCGTTTTGTGGAATTCATATGTGCTGCCTGTGCTGACTTCAAGTTCACCTTAATATCATTAAGGTTAGCGTAGCAGGGTAGTAATTAAAATGAAAATCACAAAAATGTTTGAAAAATGTGTAAGGAGATACTAATGACTTCATAAATAAGGTTAAGAATAAACGGCATTTAGGGCAAACCTAGTCTTGGCCTATAACCCAAAGTATAAAATAAATATCCATGACGTAAATAAATAACTGAATAAACCAATAAATGAGAGAGAACAGACCTCTTCCACACAGAGGAATTCTAAATAATTTATGGAGGTGGAGCTTATTCCACTTAATGACTTCCCTCCAAAGAGTGTAGTATGGAAAAAGGTAAGAAAAGAAGAACTTTAGTGGAGAGAGCCAACAAACAGTACCTCAGCCAGGTGGTCAAGGTCAGCATCAAAGTGTAAGTCACGCTGACAGTCGATACCCTTGATATAGGAGGAGAATGGCAACTTATAACTGCGGCCTTCCTCCCCCAAACCCATAACCTCGATCTAACCATGAGAAAAAACCTCAGACAACCCCAAATTGAAGGATGAACTCCTCAGAACTGCCACGGTTTCGAAAACAAGGGAAGTCTGACACACTGTCACAACCAAGAGGGTCCTGAGACATGACAACTAAATGTGGTCTCCTGGATAAGAGAACATTAGGGAAAAACCAGGGAAATCCGAATAAAGTGTGGAGTTTAGTTCACCGTAATGTACACACGTTGGTTTCTTAGTTGTGACCCATGTACCACAGTAACATAAGGCATTAACACTGGGGTAAACTGTGTGAAGGGTAAATGGGAATTCTCTGTACCATCTTTACAGCTTTTCCGTAAATCTAAATCTATGCTAAAGCAAAAGGCCTAATTTAAAAGTAGCAAGAGATTCTACCAGCTTTGAAGGTATTAAAATCTTCATTTTTTAAAAATCCCAACTGCACAGTAGAAGGTAAATGAACAGTAAGTACTTAGGTGACTGACTGACCCATCACAGGACATCAGACTCAGAGAGAATTCATTCATTAGACTCAGAGAGAACACCAGAAGCTACATTTTCAGAAAATGGACACAAAGAAGGTTTTCTGGTTGCGGCATCCAACCTTCATCATCATCTTGCCTTTACACAAAAGGCAAAAAACCTCAACAACGACAACAAAAAAAACCCAAGAGGCTTGGAAGTCCAGCTAAGAGGAAAGGGACTAGGGATAAAATAACAGCAAAACACTGGAATATTTGATATTGAGAAGATTAAAACATATAAATCAGGGTGGACCAAACTGTGAGTTTTGAAATCAATTCAGTAGTGGCAACCAGCATTTTTTTAACAAAAGAAAATGAAATAGAAAAGTTCCGTGGTTGTGACGGCTACATAACAACGTGAATGTACTTAATGCCACAGAACTGCACACTTAAAAGTGGCTAAAATGGTAACTGTTATGTATATTTTGCCACAATTTAAAAAAAATGAAAATAGAAAATACAGTACACCACAGGCAGCAGAGGTAAGCACTACTTTATAAATAAATAAATAAACACACATGTACATATTCATACGTCCACATATACTGCCTGTGGGTAATAAGTAATCATGATATAAAATGTGTCTTTCATCTGAGTCACTGTCCAAAAGTTTGAAAGCCACTGACTCAATTCCCCCTCACCTCTACACCCTCACTCTGGTCGTCTGTGTCAAAAGAGCACGAAGGAGACATCCCTCGTGGTGCGGTGGATAAGACTCCATGCTCCCGATGCAGGGGGCCCGGGTTCGATTCCTGGTCAGGGAACTAGAGCCCACATGTACTCGGCAACTAAGGAGCCCACGAGCCACAACTAAGACCCGGTGCAACCAAATAAATAATATTAAGGAAAAAAAAAAGAGCGTGAAGGATAAAAATCTACTTCACACCTTTAATTGTGACAGGAAATGGGTGAATAGAAACTAGTTCTAATTAATAAGAAAGAAGAGAAGTACACCTCTGAAAGAGGAAAACCAATGCAAAGGCACGCAGAACAATGCCCCTGGAGATGCAGCCCGGCCTTCCTAGCTCCACACTCACCTCAACTGCCTACCTGCATCTTCCCGGGACAGGATGTGTCCCATCAAGGCTGAGATTCCTAGAACAACCAAGGAGAGCTCCTGACTGCCCTCTCGCTAGACCGTTCCCATCACCGTCATCGTCACCCCAGATGCTCCAGCCAAATCCGAGCAGCCCTCCATGGTTCCTCTTTCTCTCACTCTCCACAACTGAGTCAACCCAAATTCATCTCAGAACTTTCCACGTGCCTCTGTCCGCACCACCTTCAGCAGGCACCAGCGTCAGCATTCCTCAGCTCTTTTTGCTCCCAGACGCTCAGATAGGACTGTGACAAACTCTGAACTCTGCCCCGTATATTTAAGTAATCCCAACATTCAAAATGCTGTACTACTGAATCACTTTGCTGTACAGCAGAAATTAACACACTGTAAGTCAACTATACTTCACTTAAAAAAAAAACATACATGTAAGTCAAGGAGAAAAAAAAATTTTTATGTTATACTATGAATTTGAATGTCTGCAAAGAATGCAATTTCTGGCCTATTATAAATATTGGCATTTTTAATAAAACTCACTTTTTAAAATATATTCAAAGGAATCTGAATACTATACAATGATATCCATCATTATTCATTTTTAAAAATATACGGATAGGCATTCCCGTATTGCTGGATATTCCCTCAAAGAATTTTAACCTAATATAGCTTTATGTTCAAAGCCTTTTTCAACAAAACTATGGGTATAAATTGAGATCTAGGGGTTTTTTAAATATCCTGTGACCACAGGGTCTAAGTGTCAAATTTTTTTCTTCTGAATTATCATAATTTTTATTAGCACACAACTGATCTAACAAATTTTACAAATTTTGATAGTTAATTAAACATAAGAGTTCAAATTTTATTGAAAATGCATCCTTTAATGAGATTTATGGAACTTTTTCCCCTCAATTGGTTTATATGACTATTACTGCTAGAATGAGACAGGGTTAATTAGCATCAATTTAATCTTATTTTCCTTGTCCCTTCTTTTTTTTTTTTTCTAATGTAAACACTGAGAAAGCTTGTTCACATAAATAGATGTGAATGGAAGGAGATTTGTTACAGCACTGACCCTATACGCTCTACACTCCCTCAGCATTTTATCCACAAATCACTTTTTGATGGTCTAACAACTGACAATTAGATGGGAGTCTCCTTCAATATTATAGAGAGTAAAGATTTGAAAACCGCCAAAGTTACTAATGAATTCGTCATCCAGAATTAAATCACTTTCTCCTAACCAATACCAATACTTCAAATTGTCCCTTTGCCCAAGATGAAGCACAAAGCAGGATCGGGGCCCGGAGAGAGGTCTGCCTTTGTTTGGCAAAGTGGAGAAGTGAGACTGCGAAAGAAGAGGTGGAAAAGGAGAACTTGTGACCTCAGACAGATCAGTTCTAGGAGAATATGTGGATGCTGGGGATCTAGAAGCTGATTCTCTGAAAGTTATCCCCACGCCCAGGTACCACTTAGGGTCTTCAGGCACCTCCAAGGGACCAGATACCCCAGTCTGACAACAACTAACCAACAGTGCCCCGTGACCAAAGCATTCCCTTAAAAAATGTAATTTACATCTTTTGATTTTCTGGCCCCTGCTTAAACTCTTTGAACAACTCATCCCACACTTCAAGAAATTAAAACCGAACCTCCTCACTATGGCCTCGAAGGTCCTAGCTCATCTCACTATCCTATGAAACCACACTGGCCTTCTCCACGTCCCTGGATTGCCGGCAGTGTTTCCCACCACAGGCCCCTTGCACCTGCCATTCCCTCTGCTTGCCGCCTGGCTGCTCCCACACAGCCTCCAGACTTCAGCTCAAACGTCACCTCCAACCACCTAAGCATGCTATCCATCTCCTTATTCTCTACCACAGCAACTGGATTCTTGATAGTTCCTATTGCAAGCATAACTATTTTGTTTTGTTTACAGTAACGTCTGACTTCCCTACTACACGTAAACAGGTCTCGTTCAGTGTTTTACGTCCAGCACCCAGCACACTGCCTGATGCTCAACAGATGTCCGTGAACAGAATGGTGTATGCACGCCATGGGAAAGTGAAGTTAGAGGGGGCGTGTTTTAACAGCTTTCTGTGCAACTTTATTTTAAAACAAAGCCATATTCATTATTAGAGAGTACAGATACCCCAAATGCCAAAGAGAAAGGTATATCACAGATAATGTTAAATACATAAACACAGACATATCCCAAGACTTCAGACAGCATCCAAAGTGGGCAGAGAAACTTAGCGTGGATTTGCTCCATTTTTTTCCTTACCTCTGTTCTCGAGACTGTTCCTCCATTTCGTCTTCAGAATCACCCTATTGAGAGAGAACAGGCTTTAACAGTTGTTTCAAAGAAACACAAAATTTCCCAAAACACAAAAACAGTTCTTCAAATCCCACAGGGGTGGTGAGCTTGTCTATAACAGTGCCTGGTACACAGCAGGCACTCAATAAATACTTTTTGAAAAAAACAATGACACTAGAATGGCACCACTGAAAGCCAGAAACTCCCAAGTGATCCCTTAGATGTTCACTGTAAGTAAACATCCTACCTGTTTAAAATCGCCACCAAAACACAGTCTCAAAATTGGTTTGACATCACTCCTCTCTCCAAGAGCCTTTTTTTGGTGTTTACGGTTAATCCCACAAGATAAAATTTAACAATAATTAAAATCCCCAAACATCAAGAATCCCCTAAATGAGCACCTGATAGATTTTGACTTAGAAGTGGCATAAATATCTCACTCAAACGCGCTTCCAAAATCTTCTCTGAGACCTACCATGCCACACTGTGACCAGAAGCCAAATACCAGGTGGGTAAAAAGAGAAGGTGTTTGCAACAGAAGCAAAAGGGCCGATCCAATTAAACGTCGCCTCGGCGCTTGCCCGGCACCCGTGCTCTTGGCACGGCTCTATCCTCTCCCGAAGCTGCACCGCTGGCTGCGGAAACACCCACCCTTCCCGTGCCTCCAGCGCCCCCAGCCCGAGGCTCTCCTGGTCGCCCTGACCCCCATCCTCCTGGGCCCAGACCCCGCTTCACTAACGCCCTCTGACTGTTAACCCACTCTTGGAGCCACAGGGCCCCAATCCCTATCTGCAGCCCCAGCTTCTCACACCATCACACATGGAGATAAACACCAACCTTCCCACAGGAGCCAAGGCTCGGGCAGGTTAGGTCAGACCCCACAGTACGTGCAGGACCACTTAACCCACAGCTGCGGCCCCACCGCCAAACACCTCCAGGCTCTACGCACTGTCTCCCCAGGAACAACGACACCAGACTTCTCAACGCCAGGGGTCCCTGCCAAGGGAAGGGCCCCCTTGTGTCGAAGAGGCCGTCACACTCCCTGCCCCTGGGCAAACCTGAGGGTCGTCCTACACTGCTCTCCTGCTGTCACCTCCAAGCATGAAGATCTACCCACTCATCAGAAATACAGCTTAGACCTGTCCTTCTCCATCCCTCCTGCCGGCAAATCGGCCCAAGGCATCAGCACCCCAGGCCTGCACTACCACTGTTGACGGGCTTTTCACTCTGTTTAAGACGGCCGCCTTTCCAGGAGGTGGAGAAAAGGGAACCCTCATCCACTGCTGGCAGGAATGTAAACTGGTGCAGCCACGGTGGAAAACAGTATAGAGGTTTCTCAAAAAAACTAAAAATAGAGCTACCATATGACCTAGCAATTCCACTCCTGGGTATATATCTGAAAAAAAAACAAGAACACTAAATCGAAAAGATACATGCACCCCAAGGGTCACAGCAGCACCCCAAGGGTCACAGCAGCACCCCAAGGGTCACAGCAGCAC